GAACCCAACCAAAGTGATACCTCACAAATCGCTCGACCTTGTCTTCTCCACTCTTGGCACACCGGGCCAATGGACGGCGCATCTCGCTACCCAGCGTCCCACCCCCACATTGATCGAGATCACCACAGTCACCAACGCAACGGGACTTGAGGCTAATTGGGGGACCAAATTCCCGTGGTATGCCCGGCTCTTGATCGACTTTGCGGCCTGGTATTTGCATCCTCGGGTACCCAAAGGAGTCAAGTTTGTCGCGCATAACACCGCGTTCCTACCTCAGGACCTGGCGGCTATGGTGAAGGAAGCTGAAGAGGGACGGCTGAACCCGTTGATAGGCACAGGTCAGTCGTTCCTGAGTGTTGCAGATCTCGAGCTGATGAAAGGCAGAGTTCACGCTCGAACAAGGGGCAGAGGCGTTCGACCTTGCACACAAGGGGATCATAGGCAAGGTTATATTCCGTATCTCCGACTAACTTTTCAGTACTGTATCGCAGACTCTGACATGATAACATTTATTAAGTTGAGCGGCGCGGGCAGGGAAAAAGAAACAGCGGTACGGAATTATGGGACGATTCCACTTTCCGGGTCCAGGCCCACTTTTGCACGTCACTGCCATAACTCCGGTGTAACGTTGATCATCGGGAGTTACTCGCACCTCCGCCGTTGAAACGTGAGACAAAAGACGGAACACCGATCGGCGGAGTCTCGGACATTCCGTGATCATCAACAACCAGCGCTGGAGCTCAGTTTTTCGGACATGTTCCGTGCGACGTGGACCGAGCGAGTTTCACCAGTATGTTGTATGTCGTCTCCTGCACATCCAATAATCGAGGGAAATATCTGGTGTTTGTTGAGTCACACAGCAGATAGCGGTAGATCAATACCTCTTTCTGCGGCCTTTACGCCCGTATAGTATATCCTTTTTCGGTCTCGCCGGCGGTGTAAGCAAGGAGCGAAGCACAGCGTCATTCTCCTTTCTCCCTGCAACGTCCAACCAGAAGCCAAAGATCCAAAGCTGTTGCAGATCAGCCTGTCTCCAATAAGTCCTCAGGGGTTTCTTCTGCCCGTCCCAGGAACCCCGCGGACCGAGCGCCACGTGCTCCTTGAGCGGGAAGTCCTTGCACGTGCAAATCGGGAATTGTGATCATCTGCCAGCAACGGACACAGGGAAGCAGTACCGCCATGCTGCGTTGTACGGCTGTGTTCTCTTTGTACCTGGAGTTTGGAAAGGCCATCGGCTCATTGCGTGTTGCTGGCCAGTAAATATTCCGCCTGAACATGGCGTAAAGACTCATCAACGCTGAGAGGTGACATCGAGGCAAAGCAACCAACACATGAATAATGTAATTTACGGCAAGGGCGGATGGACACAGGAACCCGCGACCGCGAAGCCGTGGCGCGTCGAGAATTTCGAATTTTGAGGACGCAGGTCGGCGGATCACGGCCTCATTAGGAAGTTCTCTACTTCTTTTGTGCAAATTGGCTGCCACGCGCGTTCATTATTCGTGAGATTCAGGCGGATCAGACATAGCATATCACAAGAGCTTTACCCGATGTGATCGATTGATGATGGCGCAGAGTGTATACTTGATCGGGGTATAAAGATATCGTCAGCGGTGTCGAAAAGCGTGATATGTACCTCTCTAACGCCCTTTGTCGCTGCTTCACGCGCTCTTATAACGGCTTTGTTCACATCAGGCGGTGCGTCTTCCTGTGCATTCTTCGGCTGTCGAGCCCACGTGTCTGATTTCCCCGATTAATATAGCGGCGCGTGACGATCGCTTCTGCTGCTCAGTTTGGAAAGCGCAAAGGCCCTGGACCAGTGTCTCGGAGTGTTTGGTTTACTTTGGACAGTTGGGAAGAGAAGTAAGGGTGAGTCGTTAGGCGATGCAGGAGACGACCGGAATACAGAGCTGACGTTTGTACATCTACAGTATATATACCACCACTTACGAAAGACCAAGGTACGCTAATCCTCGTCGCCGCACAATGTTGATTGACCTCCTCGAAGCAAGGCACAGCACCGTCGCCGCCTCCGCTCATCTATCTTCCGTCACCGCATATCCCGATACCTACCTAGAGCAAAGAATGTACTTTCCCTCCTCGCTCCTCTTCCACCGCGCACAGTCGCCGGCACCCAGCACGCTATTCGACCGCCTCATGCGCACCCTCGCCCATACCTTGGGTGCACGCACAGACCTCTCAAGAGCACTTATCACCTCCGTCCTCTTTCACTCCCTCTTCCTCGCCCTCCTCTTTGCACCCCTGTCGCGAGCATCAGCAGTCGGTGTAGTCGCATACGCGGGGGGCACATTGGGCCTTCTCATGGTGCTGGAATGGGAGGGTCCAGCATGGACACACGGGCGCGCAGTAGGCAGGCTACCCCAGTACCTCCTTGGGTTGGTGAACCTCTTCGCGTTCTTCACGCTGGCGAGGCTAGCCGTGCAGGGTACTTGGGCATGTTTATGCTGGAAGATGGGGATGGACGCTGGGACGAGTGCGGGATTGAAGGTGCAAGTGAGGGTATTTGCCGCGCTGGCACTGATGGGAGGGACGGCGCTTATGTACGCTGCGCGGCAATCGATGAGCAAAGGTCCGCTCTCTCTCCCGTATTCTAAGCATTTGTGCTTATCTTTTCACCCAATCGTAGCCGCCGACACGCAGCCCCTACCTCTCCCCCCTTCAAGGCGGGCAGGAGGAAGACAACCCAGATCTCGTGCGCTCCCCCGCCTGAGAGAGCTCAGGCGTATGAGCTCAATCGCTACACTCCCACCTTACGAGCCTCCTTCGCCTGCACCACCGCTCACTCCCGTCACACCGTCGGATCCGCCCAGTTATTGGAGTGTGGTGGGTAGGGAGTGTGTGGAGTAGACACTTGGATGTGTTGGGTGAGGAAGGGAATGCAGCGCGCGAGGCATTTTTAGCGTAGATGAGGATTGCTCAGATCAGATGAGAGGTGAGACGCGCTGCATCAGTACATGCGATAGGAAGGGATGTATGTGCGGTAGAGTGTACATTCTGGCCGGGAGGAGATTGCGGACTCTAGTACAAGCTGCTCATACAGCGTATACCCTGTAGTTATACAATACTCGAATCACGATATTGTCATGCAAGTTTTGTTTCCAGGATGATAGCGTTGGATGCAGGTGGAGATGCGACTGGTGCAAGAGGCACGGGCAGGTTCGAATTCGCCGTTTCGGGGTTCCATTTCCAGGCATCATCCACTAACCTGGACAACACCCCGTCCCTCCCCTCCTTGCTCGCACCATAATACGAAGGGTTGCTTCCCAGCCTCCGGGCCAAGAAGGTCCATGACAGCAAGTCCATCGCATCCTGCTTGCTCTTCACGCTTCCCGCCTTCCGTTTCCTTGCGAACCAGCGATAGAACATCTCCCTCCCCTCATCCTCCAGCAAGGCCGATTCAAGAGGCTGACCCCGCTGCAAGAACCGGACGTACGTGTCCCTCTGTTCAGCCTGGCACATCAGGTGCATCCGTCCTGCGACCCCGTGCTGAACCGCCAGTCCTTGCATCCTCACCAACTCCCGTACCGTGTAGTCCCGCACTTGCCGCTCGGCGCCGTCCCCCCGGATGTACAGGTACTGCGCACCAAGTATGATTACGCTGCTTGCGCGGACGGGAAGAGTCCAGCACCTCTCCCGTGGAACAACGAGAACGCGCACGGTCCTGTCAGCGTAGAATCCCATTAGGAGGCGCTTGTCAGAGAGCGGCAGTGCCTCGTGATAGATTCCGATCCCAAGGGCGAGGGCATCCCCTAGGTTGGCGTTCCGCAGCCGAGTGAGCACTGGTTGTATGTCTTCGGATGTTAGGCCCGAGCCAAGGAAACCTTGTGTGTCGAACTCGATCGTGCATTGTTTGACGAGGTCGGCGGCGACGGAGTAACATTGTGCTCGGGAGGGTACGACAAAGATCGCATTCCCTCCAGGAGGGATCGAGCGAGCAACTCCGTATGCTGGCTTGATCATTGCCTTCATCAACGCTGCAGAATGGGGTATGGTGAATGTTTGGGTAGTGATGTCCAGTGGGGTATCACGGTCGCTTGGGAGGAAGGAATGCGCGAATTGTGGGTACACGTTCAACCAATCTCCAAGGGTCGATGGGTCATTCAGCGAAGCGCTGGTGGCAACGATGCGGATGCGTTGGGAGAGGCTCGCATGAAGGATGCTGGCGACGGACAGCTCGTACGATGCGTCGAGCGCGTCGAGGTCTTCAAGCACAACAAGACTGATCCGCGAGAGCCAGTTTTCCAACACCGTGTTGGATAGAACGGCTATTAAAACCTCCGCTGAGATTACCTGTATAGAGCCTTTGGCAGACCCTGTTAGGTCAGCCGCGGTATCAATTCTGTTCAGGCGAGCTCCGGAAACTTGAGCATACGGCTTGAGGGCCAATACGGTGTGTCGGGCTGACGTATGTTCGGGCGTTATTACAATCACATCTGAGGTTGGGGCAGTCCTGAGTGCTTGCCTAGGAATAATCAGCTGGGTTAGCATTCGCAAGATGAAAGGCTGACCATATTCCCAGGGACGCCAGAGTGGACTTTCCACATGCAGTCGGACCGCAAAGCAGGACATTGTGCTGAGTGTGCACAGTTGGCCAGAAACATTGGGTCTGAATGGCATTGAAATTCGTAATCAACTGGGAGTATGAACGAGCGAGGGCGGAGTCTTGAATCGCCGACGCAGAGAGCAGCGGTACATCCAAAAGGTCCGTGTGAGCATTGAGCGTCATAGGCAGCACAACTTCGGATAGATCAATTAGAATCTCGTGCTCGGCACCTAACCACTTGTCGGAAATGAACCGTATGCAGACAGATGGCGGCAGTTTGCTGCCGACGATAGGAATGGTGAAGTCGACATCAAGAATTTCGGTCGCTTGGTGGAAGAGAAGATGGTGCCATTGTAGGATGTCGACTCCTTCGTGGTCCTCCACCCAGAGCCAGAAGAATTCCGTCGAGCCATGGACCTTGCTGCTCCATTCAAATGCTTTGTTCACAGTTACTGCGATTCTCAGCAGATCTGAGCTCAGCGGTTTTACCGCATATGAGATAGCAGCACTAGGAAGCTGCTTTGCCGCCCGAAGGAGTGCCGCACCATGTCGTTCGTTCATGTGAACAAGCTCTCCCAATTCCGCCGCGGTCTGAGTAACCAAGTCGGAAACAGGCAATTCATCTGCCCATCGCTGGAGATTGTAGAGTAGCTCTTGCCCTAGATCAAATTGGGCCAGCGGATGTTGATATGGCCACATCTTCATCTCGACAGCTTTACTCATTGACATCAGAACGGCTGAGGCTCCTGCCCATTTCTTACTGATCGCGATTTCCAAGAGTGCACGAATGATGCGTCCGCCATTCTACATGATAGTTGAGCATCCTCAACGAGATTCATGCTGATATCTTTATCTCTACATACCTGCGCTGCATATGCTGTATCGGATACCAACGCGAAGTCTTCAATATAAGCACGGGAGATGTACCCTTGTAACAGGATGTTGACCTTCCCTTGACTGGTATCGGTGCCTCCCTAACCGAGTAATGTCAGGTGCTGAGTACGACATTTCAACAGACATCTACGCTACCTTGACTTGACATGGAATTATCTCGTCCATGAGATGTTTCAGCTCAGGGATTTCGTTCTCTCTCACTTGGATTTGATCGAACTGGAGGAATTTAGTTCATGCACTGTGTATTTCAGATAGATAGTCTTACTTCAGTACTCATACTGAGCATAGCTAGAACATCAGCTTCGGACATAACAGGTCGGAATTCCTTGTTGAAGATTTCGATGCTATTATACCGAATATAATACTTCGCGGCGATTCGTCCCAAGTCAGTGATTGTGAAGACGCCAGTAGCTTCATGGAACTGAATCATTCGGGCGTCAGCTAGCTTGCGTGCAGCTGATGTGACCAAGAGATTTCGTCGATTTCCAAGTTGCGGATCTTCAGCAGGCTCCTCATGAGACATTCCTGTCACGAATCTCATCAATACAAGCAACAACGAAGTTCAACAAGTACGAACCATAAACCATGGGGTTGCGTCGCATCCTGACAAAAAGATACGTGTATCCAACCCACTGGACAGCTTCCGTCACATTTGAAACAGTCCCCAACGATATTTCTGCGTTGAGTGAGTCAATCATACCGACAGTGAATTTAGACTCAATCGGGTGCTGATCTCTTGTCAGCGGAAGAACGATTTCGATGAGAATCTTACGGACCTGCGCTGTGATGGCATCCAAATAGTGATCAAGCTTATCTTGAGTGGTAGCAATATACCCAACACCACTGGATTCCATGCCTGGTCGACCAGCACGACCGAAGATCTGTCATCAATCAGATTGTCTCCTGAATACAGGAGCAGTCGCGTACCTGTAAGACATCTAATACCGACAGGTCCACAAAGGAACCTTGTCCGCTATCGTAGACTTGGGTGCCTTTGATAATTACTGCATGGGCGGGGAGATTGACCCCCCAAGCTAATGTGGCAGTACAACAAAGTACCTATATCAGACGTTAGCATTGTCAACGGGAGTGATAATATCACTCACCTTGATGGCTCTGGCTTCGAACATCTTTTCCATCATATTCCGATCTGACCGTAACATACCCGCGTGATGGATTCCAAATCCACGGTCGAAGAGCTGCTTCATTTCTTTGTTTCGGGAAGTACCGATTTCGCGGCGGAAAGAATCGTACTGCGGGTGGTCGGAAATATCGAAATCATCCAAGTTGCCTTCTAGCAAAGCTGCTTCACGGATGGCTTCTGCACTTTTGACAGTTTCTTTGCGAGCGTGAACGAATACCATCACTTGATGTCCCTCTTTCACCAATTCAGAAACCTTCTTGAACACAACTGCATCGAGATTCTTCTTGGACTGCGGACTGTTGGGCTTGCCTTTGACGCCAAGGAAATGTTGCTCGAGTGGAACAGGCCGAAAAGACGAGTCGAAGAAGAACAGTCCAGTATAGCGAGACACATGCAAGAAGTCGGCAACATCAATATAGTTGGGCAATGTGGCGCTGAGCCCAACGATGCGAATTAGAGATTGGCTCGACTCGACCTGACGAAGGGTTCTGGCGACAATGGTCTCGATTACCGCGCCACGCTCTTCGTTTAGCAAGTGCACTTCATCGATAATCAAGAGGCGAACTTTCTACAAGCATCGCTCAGCGTGGACGATTGATACTTCATTACTGGCGTACTGAGGCAAGTTCGCCTTCCCCGGTAGATTTGCGCGTCACGACGTCCCACTTCTCTGGGGTAGTAACAATCATCTGAGTCTCAGCAATTTCTGCTCGTGTCATTTGCATGTCACCTAATCTTAAAATATCAGAATGAGATGATGCGGTGGGCTGGGAATGTACCTGTTAGTTCGCGAACTTTGATGTTCAGCCATGCTAACCGCCTGCCGATCTTTCGGACAATTTCAGCAGCAAGAGCTTTCATGGGAGCTCTGCACTGTCACGGTAAGAAGAACGATTAATCTCAGGGCCTGATGCACGTACATATAGATAATCTTGAAATCATCACGCCTGATTGAGGCACTCATCATTGCTGGCTTGATCAAGCTCACATCGCCGTTCAAGTACTGTGACAGTACCCTTAAGATGGTGAGCACTGCAACATCCGTTTTACCCTGAGTTTCATGTCAGTTTTGTTTATTATTACAGTAGATCACAGCCCACCGCTCCAGTTGGTGCTGGGAGATGGGAGTTAATGAAACTGTCGTAAACCAAGGAACAAATATTGACACACCACACACAAGCATATTTTCATTGGTACTATATGCTGTCGGATACACAACAGACTGTATTCGATTGAGCGATTTGTATCCGGGGAAGGAGCCCTTCGCCAGATTGTCCAATTCAGAGACGGATATCAACCGCTCTCCAACTCGAGGGGGCACGGGCCTAGCAGGTGGAATAGTAACTTCCTCGGATTCTTCGTTATCCTCCCTTGTTGTACCAATGGGAAGGATGAATCGACTGCCTGAGGAGGATAGCATGGCACCTCCGGCGCCGGAGGAGTATACGTGCGGATATTGTGGCATCACATCAGCCATTTTTGTTGTCGGAATCACAGGTCGGCCGGCTGCATCTCGCAAAGCAGCTTCGCGCAATTTTCGAGAGGAGTCTTCGGTGAACGGCAGCGGCCCACCGACTGTAGATTGTGAGAATCATGTATTAGAAACGATTTGAACGAGACGCACCTAGAGCTTGTGTATGCCCGTTCATCCTCTCCTTGCCTTTACGCTGCATCTGCGTCGCCTCATTATCATAGAATACATGTCCAGTCCGTGAATCCTCTTGATATTTAACAGATTCTTGAAGCTATTAGCATGTCAGACAAACCCAGAACCTGCGGTGGGGCTTGTGTTACTCACTTGTCTTCCAATGTCAACTCGACTCTGCATGATCTGCATGACTAGCTCCATCTCATCGAACCCAAGCAATTCGGCGACTTCGATAGAAACTTGCTCATCTGATTTGCCTGACCGAAGAGCTTCCCCAAGTAGAGGAAGGAGTGGAACCATGTTCGGTTTGCTACCTCCAGATGAATCGTACGTCCACGCGTGAGGAATAGAATCTTACCTCTTCAGGGTGGAAACTAAGTCAATTTCTGCAGGCGCAGCAATATCTGTATCTGGACGGTCCATCGACATCCAAAGATCCATGACGGAGGGCACGGGATCATTGTCGAAGTCGGACAGGTTGTCGGGTAGAGACGTAGCTGCGGCCAAATATTGAGACACCACGCCAGAATCACAATACATAGCATACAAGGCTTTACGGATACTCTGTAATAATAAATGAGGCAAAGGCATAATGTGGTCACGAACAAGCACACCTTTCCCATTTCTCTAGCTCGCGAAGAATTTCCTCAACATCCTTTTCGACTTCTCGCTTCTGCGAACTCTCAACTAATGACTGAAGATGCTGCTGAAACCCATTCATTTCGATGACGAAAACTCTGTGTCCGTTCCTGTCTAAGAGAATACAGAGGTAGATAAGATGGAACGTTGCGTCTCAAGAAATGACTCGGTTGTTCAGGTCGACGTGATGGACAGGGTATCAATCAGGGTCTCGACTTTGTATTGCGGTCATCACAGCTCAGGCCCATCACAGGTCATGCGCATAGAGTTCTTTGGATTACCACAGTGCTGCTTGTTGCATTGTAGCCATTCTCGTCGGCCTTCAAGAACTTCTGAACCATGAGCTTAATATTTCTGTCGACGCTTGCGTCGACGAACTCTCTGGCAGCTGTGCGATTCTCGCGTCCTGTCCACGTCTCATCCTTGCGCATAATACCCTCTTCTCTGGCACCATTTCCCAGCTTGGCCGATTTTTCGTCGTACGTCGCGATTTGCTTAGATTAATTGCAGTATGATTGATATCCTAAAGCGAAACCGAACCTGCGTCGTTCTCATTAGACGTCTTCTTCAATTGGCAGACTTTGCCATCTGGGAACGAGAAACCCCGCCCTTCGAACGTATTGCTGCACTCTACGTTGCAAAATGCTGGGAACGAACTACAGTATGAGATTGATTCAAGTGAAGAAGTAGTGATTTTGCTCAAGAGTAACCCCCTAAGTCACTGACCACCATTTCCAGTTGGTCACGAGGTTGCTTATCCTCAAGGGGGCATTCAGCTCTATAACTTTGGCAGTTTATGGCCGGGATGCATCCGAACCGAAGAAAGAGGATGAACTTGAAATGGAGGAATCCTACATCCCTGCCCCAACATACGTTCCCGTACCACTGCCGGAGCCGTTGACGACACCGCTGCCCGCAGATCTCGATCCCAGTCGTATCACTGACCCACTCACATTGTGTCGCCGTCTTTTGGGTGCCGGGTCTGCCAATGCAGATGTTATTTCTCTGATGAGGCGAAATCTCAATGCATTTCCACCATCATCCAACAACACCACGTTGGATCAACTGCTATCCAGCTACGAGATAGGAGATGACTGGATGAGGGAGTTGATCCAAGCGCTTCAACGCCCCATCAATCCTTCTGATGTCACATCGGAAGCGTTGCAGAATATAGAAGAACACTTACTGGAGTGTATCACTCAATCGGTAAGACTAGTGTGAACTTGGGCCGAACCGTACACTTATTGCTTTCTAGCTGCCTGCCGAATTGATTGGCCAATTGATCTCTGTTCTGAGCGTGCAATCCTCGGTCCTTGTTGACAGTCTGCTCCCATTAATTCTGGAATCAGCCACTGACCCATCAATATATCCAACTCTACTGGAGGCATCGGCCAACGATAATATATCCGACAGTATTCGTCATGTCAAGTTCCCTCCAGGCTTAGACCCGGCGATATATCATCAGATGAACCAAAACGCCCACATGTGGGAGGCTCTACGAGAAGGCGAGACAGATCTCTCGTGGATCACAGCGAATATGTGGCTTCCGGGCTTCCTTCCGTCTATACTCGAAGTGCTTGGCGATACCGAAGATCTCAGCGCCTGGCCTCTGAATGCAAAGCTGGCAATCTCTGTGGCCAGCCTCTTGGCGTTGGCTACCGACTCTGACAATGACATCGCGGCGATGAAGGCGGCTGCGATACTGGAACTGTGGTTAGCCAATACCACAGTTGTTGAGGTGCGCATAATCCTAATTTGGCCCCCTGTAGAGTCTGACTTGCAGCAGGTCCTACATGAGGCCCTTGAGCATCAGAACATACAAGAAAATCTGTCATCTTCTCCAGCTCGTTCGCTACTGGAGAAAGTACACAGTGTGGCCGTTTCTTTGTCAAATCAGCGCAATGGGACGAGCTCATCCATCAATGGACATGGTGGAACGAGTGTACCCAGCGGTGATCTCGACATGGCGGCAGAATACCTGACACTGGCCTCCAAGCGATGGCCCGCCAAGAGCACCCAACAGCTGCAAGCTTATCTTCAAACCTTGTATACAAGGGTAGCGGCCGACCGGGACAGCCGCCCCATTACCCACGCCTTTTGGCGACGAAATACGTCTGCAGTGCAATGCATTATTCTTCTCTTGCTGGATGCGACGCGACGATTATCCGATCAGAACTGGGAGCTCAGCGATGCGACCTCAGCCCGCGATCTCGTCGCCACAGCCCTATTGACCGTTCGGATTCTGCATCACATGGTGCCCGAGTTCGGCATCTTATCCGGCATGGTCCCTCTCGTTATTCGTGCCCTAGTGTCGCTCCTCATCTCCCTGCGACAACCAACATACGCAACCAGATACGCGACTGAACCTACCATTCGCGCTGAATGCGAACGTTTGGTTGAGCTCATTTCCGATGTAGATGATGATGGCATCTTCGTACATTCTGGTGCTGATGTGATTCTCCCCGTCTTGTTACAAGAGTCCCTTCGTTGGGATGAAGGTATCGATCCGATGAGTAGGATTTCGGCATCTGCCGACCTCTTGATAGTCCTGTTGAATGTTGATCACAGCTCCAAGGCTCGAAGCCAAGCATGGGCAAATCAGCTTATTCACGAGCTACCGATGCTACATTTCTTGCTCATCGCTTTGGATGGTTCGAGGTTGAGGCAAATAGTAGACATCATATGCGACATCGATGACGGAGAGTTTGGCATTGTTGATTGGCTGGTTTTGGAACGACTTGCCTCAATCGAACAGGAGGCCTCAGTCGTGGGAACAGAATATGGACAGCCAACCAACCAAGTCTCGACCGCGTTCTTCAACTTCCGGGTAGAACGATCTCTGGAATTCATGACCAGTCTGGGTCTTCCTCAGCTTGACGCGTACATGGAGCCGGGACATCCCATTGCACCTGCCATGGCCAAAGGACTGTGGGAGATATGGGATCGGCCCATCAAGCTCTCCAACAGTCTCGCCGAACAAATTCTCTCTCGAAGTACAGCCGACGATACACTGAGGCCAGTGGCTGTTGCAATTCTGATCGCCACCAATTCTACAAGCGAGGCGGGCAATGCCATCATTGATGTGCTCCCGAAGCTCGTCCCCTTGCTAAATGGCCTTGAATCCAGCGTCGTTCAGAAAGAAGAGCAACTGCTTCGCGCTGTTGGCGCAGCAATAGCATTCTTACCCGAGCTCGAGGAGCAGATCACGGTCGAATGGCAGCGCGGTGAAGTCACACTGGAGTTCGCTATCACTCTACTCCAGACTACGCTGGGTTTCTTTCCAAACACCGATGGCGTGATCACAGGGATACCGGTGCCGACGCTGTCCGAAGGTACCGCTGCCCGATTCAAGGGATTGGTCGAAGTGCTTCTCGATGCAGAGAGGGCCTTAACCTTGACGAAGTTGTTGACTCGCCTGTCGCTGCCACTCATCTCTACTCCACTGCCCGAGCCAGCATCGAGCTCGCTCTTGATCGGATCAGCGCTCCCCACGCTCGTTCAAGCAGAAGTTGCTCGTCCACCCAGCACGCCTCTGTCAAGACCTTTGAGTGGGCTGGATGGCGGTGTCAAGACGGCACCACCATCAGCACGTAAGTCAAGCCCACTTGCTTCACTCGCCAAAAACTACTCGAACAACGACTTCCGCGAGCTTCGCACGCTTCCTCAAGCGCGGCTGAACACTAGCCGACCTCCGAGTCGTCACGTCGACGACTTTGAGCATACCGTCGAGGAGGCGGTCACCACATCGATGCCAAGTGCCATACCCACGCTGGGGTCAGCAGCGCTGCCATCTATTCCTGTTCCTGGCGTGTTGCCCGGTGGAGGAATGCCGTTCTATACCGGTTGATCAGACAAGGACCAAAAAATTACTTGGACAAATTCATGACATTTTGGTTGACCCTGGAGTCAAGATATCCTTTGTTACAAATCCTTTCTGTATCTTCCAGGTATAGTGATGATGATGTATCGTTAGAGTCATTACTGCTACAGAGGCCAAAAGAAGGGACGAAAGCGCGGGAAGACATTCGGAAGGTTCGCATAGATGGTTTTTGGTTGTTTGAAATCGAATCACACTGCGACGAAAGGGACTCGACGATGGAGACCGTCCGTTTCTAATATGGGCGCCTCCTCTGACTGAGGAGAGACATGAAAATACTCCGAGTAGTCGGAGGCGGGTCGAGGGGACGAGGACGCTGGCTCTGGCGGGGTGGACGGCGTCTTCTTCCCTATATGATACGTCCGCTTCCTCCTCGCCTTCACCGGTGCCTTTTCGGGTGCTGCACCGCCTAAACCAGGCGTGCCAGCCTTGGGCACTGCGCTCCTCACAGCATAGTGCTGCATAGACCGGGTGTAGGGGGAGAGCGTTTGGTGGGAGTTGGTGAGCATCGCCAGCTGGCTAACGCGGGCGTTCACAGCGGGCTTGAGGATGATGCCCCGCTCGCTGCCGTACTCTGATCGAGGTGGGGAGCCGACGTATAGCGGATCGAATGGTGAGTGGGAATGGGATGACAGGCGGCGCTGGGTGATGCTCCCACTGCGAGCGCGGGCGAATGATTTGGCAGAAGAGGGTGAAGCGGGCTCGTCTTCCTCCGTAGGGGGCACTTCGGAGGAAGGAGGAGTAGAGCCTGAGTACGTGAGCCCGCTGGAGGAGCGCGAAGGGCGTGCGGAGGATTGGGCCGCTCGGGAAGATAACGGTGGTCGGGGAGGAATATGAACCGAGCCTGGGGTGGTTGTAGGCGGACTGACGCGGCGGGAAGCAGGCATGGATCGCGTACGATTCATGACATGTGTTGCGCCAAGGAGGGAAGGCGTGTATGCGCGGTGTGGGAGAGAATATGTCGACCCAGCGATAGGCGGTCTTGCGTGCAGGTTCGGCACAACAGGAGAACGCATCCCCGCGGGCTCTTCGCCCTCCCATCCCGGGAAATAGCCCGCTGAGGCAAAGGCGAGCCCGCTCGGCCGGGGTCCAACAGCCATCGCAATCGGTGTACTCGCTGCGCTGACAGGGGTGTGGATCATCAGACCAAGAGGCAAGGTATTAGAGCGAGCAAACTTGAGTCTCTGCATATTCGGGATACCGCTGACTGACAAGCTCCTGCTTGGCGCACGTAACGTGCCCTGCGTAGAACGCACGGTGGCTGTATCGCTCGGCGTGCCGATCAAGCTCTGAGAATGCAGCACCCGTGGGCGGGTAACCGTCCCCCCCCCAACGGCGTAGATCGTCTCGTAATCCACAGCGGGGTCGATAACGCTTTCGTCCCAGCACTCGCTCGCCGCAGCTTCTCCAGGCCACACACTCGGTCCCGGAACTGGAGCAGGGACAGAAGCAAGAGATACAGAGGATTGCTCCCATTGCTCCTCACTCACTTCCCCTTCTTCGTCCTCCTCTGGAATATCGGAAGGAACGTCGTCGGACGCTTCCGGCTCCTCGGCAAGCTCAGCCAGACCACCGCTGTGATGGAACAGCTTTGCGAAACCGGAGTAATCGCCTTTGGCAGGGAGTTCTTCAGGTCGCAAACCATATGTTGGGTCGTAGTTCTCGATATCAGGGAAGCTGGAAGGAGAGACGGGGGTAGAGATTGGCATGGGACTGGAAGTGGAGTCGACAGAGCGCGGGGAGCGGATGGATGATGCGTAAGAGTAGCTTTGTTCGGCCATGCTCGCTGCATAGAATTGCCGCTCGAGGTCTGCGCGCGGGCTGTATGTCGAAGGCGGCGGAACAGGGTGCAGCACAGGGGTGACGTACGATCGGTCCCCTTGCTGGGAGACGCTCTCCAAGTCCGGGTCCTCTGTAGGAGGGTGGGCGAACTTGCGTGCATACGGAACTTCCACACGGGCTTTACCGCTCAGGTCTTTGGAGAGCCACTGCTGGGAAAGCTTGTGTATGATGCTCGGCAGGTCCTCGCGGAACATCTCCCGTAACTGGCCCTCGATCTCCTTCTGGATGTACTTTTGTATCACCCCAATTCGATCGAACGTGCTGTTGACATCGACGTTCTGCAGGGGATCGGTCTTGAACACAAGAGTGATGCCCTTTTGCTTGGAGACGACGAGGACGACATAGGAGTTGAGTTTGAAGTTGGATAGCCGCAGGTTCATAGGCACCACGAGTGGCGCTTGCGCGGCAACCATCCCACCGCTACCATCAATAACGTGTGTCTCCCGTTTCTTGTGTATGAGCGGATTTGCCTAAGGATCTCATTAGATGCACGCCCCCTATCTGCGAACCTCCTCACGCACCTGCACTTTCGTCCTAAGCACAATATATGCGTCACCCCCATAGCTCAGCCTGAAAATCCCACGAAACTGATCCATCGTAAGCTCGCCAATATCCCGGACCTCCAGTTCAGGTGGCTGCGTGCCCATCTCGAGTTCGACGACCTCGATGCGGTCGGCGATGATAGGCGGTTTTGAGCCCTTATTGAGCGCGGATTCGAGCATCTCCCGCGCCGAAGCGTGAAATTGATCGCTGAACCGCGGCCAGTTGAACACGAATGCCATCCTGGTTCCTGGGGGTCCTCGTCAAGTCGAGGATGAGATGCACTGTTGAAGTACGCTTGCTGTGTTGCTGCCGAAGGAGATGGTGATATGCCTCAAATTTGCACAAATGACCGTCGCTAGGAGCAAAGATGGAGTTGTGGGTCAAGCGACGTCCATCTGGTTGACGTCTGTCCAATTCGTGTGCGGGGTTAGCTGGCAGCCAGCGCGGGGTAAAAAGGGGGATAAAATGGCGGTAAAAAGGTAAAAGAGTAAGGGCTAAAAGGGCGCTGTCTGTCGTCTGTCTGTTTGCCTGTGGGCGGGAAGGGCCATAACAGGGCACGGGAAGCGGGAGGCGCGGGAACAGAACATGGACAAGCCGAAGGGACCCGCGTTCATTGCACACACCGGTCATGCCGACATCTCCAGCAGCGCCTCGGCCATTTTTTATTCGTTCTCCCGTCCCCCACGGACATGAAAAATCGTTGTAAAGTGGTTTTGGCTATAGCAAATTACAGATAGGCAATTGGTGTGATCATTTTACCACTTTGCCAATAATATCGACACCAATGCGGCTGTGCAATACTGGAAGTTTATGTGCTCCATGTGATGTCATTTACAAATTCATTTATTAACCTGACGACGAAAGCTATGACTAACTCTGTTACCTACTGAGGCAACGTACCTGGTATGACTCGGTCATGGGCAAGTAAACAAAAATACAACAAGCTCGGTCGCCACATCCCGGATTCAGAGCAAGAGCTTATCGTTTGCCGCCGAGAGAATTTGCAGGAACACATGACCCCGCGCGGGTCCCGTCCTGTCGACGGGCCACAGGACAGACCTCTCCGAGCTTCTGCAACGGCGGGTCGTGACCAATAATGTGTGGACGAAGACGGTCTTTCCACATCTTCATGAGCTTCATCTAGCGTCCCGCAAATCGACTTTCCGACCAGGACCTGTTACTGATCTTCGGTCTAAACAGTAGAGAGGACGAATATTTCCCGGTGCTGCAGCAACCTTGGGCTTGCCTACGATGCGACGACTGTTCGGACATTCCTCCATAATTGCATGGACGCTGAGCTTCGTACACACAATCTGAAGCACAGGTTAGCATACTACCTATTAGACGACTTACGGCCTGGTTCGGCGGATTCTCGTTTCTGCACAACACGGGTTTTCATGACTTCACTATCTCCCGTCTTCACGTCTGTATCTCTTGAATAGGATTCTTCAAAACTAGCGTACTTGAGAAGCGGTTGACATAGATGGAAACAGGTTCAGGTTCTCTTCTGGGTGTGCATCCGCAGACTTGAGGAACTTGGGAATACGACAGGCTCTGCGTGTACATTGATCGACCAACCTTGCCAGACCTTCCCAAGATCATCGACGCCATCTTGATCCACATACCGAAAAGCACCACTTTGGAAGAAAGGTGGCCATAGAAATAGAGTGAAAAGGCGCGTTCAGTACCGCTTGGGGCTCCGGCTCCGGTCCCGATCATCTCTCCTCCTGTCTTCACGTCCATAGGGGTCTTCTTTCTTGACCGGAGCGCGCTCTTCACCACGATCTGCTGTCACCCGGTCGCGATCGTCGTATTCACGGTCAGCCCGACGATACTCGCGATCGCGGTCGTAGTTGCGCTCCCTGTCCCTTTCGAAATCCCTTTCGCCTTCGCGGGAACGATAATCTCTGTCACGGTTATGGTCCCTGTCACGGTTGTAGTCTCTGTCGCGGTCCCTGTAGTCGCGGTCGCGGTCTCTATCACGGAAATCGCGGTCACGGTCAGGGCGGTCAAAATCCCGAGGGCGATAGTCGCGGTCACGGTCGCTCCTATAGTCGCCTTTGCCATAGCTCCTGTCGTACCCGCTCCTGCGATCACGGTCGGGTGCACCCATGTAGCGGCCTGGCGTGGGGTCATGCGCACGCTCGGTTACGGAGTAATCGACACGGATGTTCCGGCCGTTCACATCCCTTCCGTTCAGCTCAGAGATGCATTTCGTCGCGTCTTCGACTGTAGCCATTTGGATAAACCCAAAGCCGCGGGAACGGTCAGACTGTTCATGCTGGTCAGTTCAGACTCATATGCTTCAGAAGGAGGCACATACGCGCTGGTCATAGACGATGGTAACGTGTTCAACCGTCCCATATTGGTTGAAAAGCTCCTCCAGATCCCTCTCCACGGTGCGAACAGAGAGACCAAAAACACCAAGCACGTTCGTAGCCTTAGGTGCTGTCGTGTTCCTTCCCTTCGGGGCGGGAGCAGAACGACGAGGTTCAGGGGAGCGGCGGCGATCACGGTCGTCGTCGCGAAGGCGGTCACGATCGCGCTCACGATCAATGTCCATGTCACGGCCGCGTGGCGCGTCCCCGTTGGTTGTAGGTGGAGGGCGGTCACGGTCTTCCTGAGCGCTCAGCATGTCAGAATACTAGAAAGGTTTATGTAAGGACGTGTAAAAAGTGCAGGTCAATAAAAGTGTGCCTACCATGACTTATTATACTTGAGGTTGGTGGTGGAAGAGAGGGAAGAAGTGCATCCGAGGACGACTCACACTTTGTCTGGGAACGGCAAAGTGGAGCGGAAGCAAAGAAGTTGCCGCGCGACTCCCACGTGCTCAGTATCTGCCTCCGTGAGAAGGAAGGGATGAGGCCTGAAACTGTACAGTTGATGCGCCGCTCACTTTAGGGTACCACTCACCGAATTCTGCTCCCGGTGGTCAGTGTCGTCCCGGCGTCACAGCAGCAATTCGACTTCACCGACAACAACACTTTCTCGACGGCAAGATGGTACGTGCTCACCATGCAAGAGAATGCAAGTGACAGTGTTGACGGTCATTGATGTGCTGCAGGGTATCGACATCGAGAAACACCACGTCAAGAAGGGCGCCAGGACCGCCCCCAAGAGCGAGGATCCTTACCTCCTCCTCCTCGTCAAGCTCTACCGCTTCCTTGCCCGCAGGACCGACGCACGCTTCAACAAGGTGTGTAGCATCTGCGCCTCACGCAAGTCAAGTGTCTGATCTTGGTCCGCAGGTCATCCTCAAGCGCTTGTTTATGAGCAAGATCAACCGGCCTCCCATCTCCATCTCCAAGGTCCTCGCCGAGACGCACGGAGGCAAGACAGCTGAGGGGAAGGTGGTCGTGACCGTCGGTACCGTGACGGATGATGAGCGTCTTGTGGAAGTTCCTAAGCTCTCCATCGCCGCTCTCCGCTTCTCGCGCAGCGCAAAGGAGCGCATCCTCGCCGCAGGTGGGGAGTGCCTTACTCTCGACCAGCTCGCTCTTCGTGCCCCTACTGGCTCCAACACCGTCCTCCTCCGTGGCAAGAAGAATGCACGCGAGGCAGTCAAGCACTTCGGCATGGGTCCCCACCAGCACAAGAAGCCGTATCTTACGTCCAAGGGCAGGAAGTTCGAGAGGGCGCGTGGAAGGAGAAAGGTAAGTTCCGGACGAAAGGCCCTTTATACAATTTTATCTGACATGTCTTGTGCTAGTCCCGTGCCTTCAAGGTATAATGTGCTGTCGTTGGATCCTGAGGGAGCGAGAGGGCAGTGTATATGGGCCGTCAGAAGTGCGTTTGGACATATATCTTGTCCACAAAATATGGTGTATGCCTTATGTCGTCATCTGCAATGCCATGCTCTGCATACGATATCAGTTTTCGAGTGCCTCAGGTGTTCATTATTAACATGATGTCATTAAGTTGTGCAAAGTGTAAGTTATATCCAGTGTAATGCCCAGTACCACCCCTCAATCCAATTTGGTCGCCGTCCAACCCTGGTCCACAAACTCTTCTACCTCGTCGGCCTTGGTTATTACCGGGCTGGGCGGTACGACCACCACACCAGGGAGATGCTCGATCCTCTCCAATCTGCGTTTCTCCTTCTCCGCTCTCTGCTTCAGCTTTCCAAGTAGGAAGGGCCTCCCACCAAGCCAGAAGAACAACAGTGGTACGAACGACATCCATGTCCCATACCAGCCCATCTTGCCCCAACCGAGGAGGGAGTTTTTGGCCGTGAGAAGAATGAATGGGGCTGCGCAGTAGTTCAGCTCCATGGACGTGCAGATCATACCCAGGATGTCGTAGATCCGTTTGATCAATGTCGGGGGTGGCGGCGGTGGTACGAAAACCTTTCCACCAGAAGAACCTGGCACGCCAGAAATCGGTGTGCCTGGTACCGGAGAGACTCCGTCTTCGGGAGCTGGGGTGGCAGCGCGAGTCGAGGGTTCTGTATCAGTAGTTGCCCTCCTTATTTCGACAACTGGTGGCAGCAAGAATGGGCGCACACAGCTCCGCATCATTCTTGCCACTGTTTGAACAAAGCCCCCTTGTATGAAGGTCAGGTAATAACCCGATTCGGACCCATGCTGTATTGCATAAGCATCTCATGCACGAATAAAGTAGTCATTACTCACCCATAGGGCGCTGACGAGGAAAGTAAGCATACTACTCCTGAAACCAGGTTTCTTTCCCCTAGGAGTCACGCGTTTGTAGACACAATGCCTGAGCCAAACGTTTGTATTCACGTTCCAGTTGTCAAGAAGAAGTTTGATGTTCGGAGCAAATTCGACGTTGAGGATATTGACGTTCGTTGCCCGATTCCAGAGGGTTTTCCCATCCCTAGTGTAACCGTTGAATCCTAGGCCTGTCAGGATTGCGGCACCTTCAGACAGCTTCCAGGCGCCGTAGTACTTGGTACGCTGGACGATGCCCATCAACTGCACGAGGAAGACACTAGTCAACCCATGAGTACGGCCACGCACGGATCATGAGCCTGCAACGCACCGCTTGACAAACGCTTGTTTCTCCCAGCCCTCCTGCATCACCTGGAAATAGTTGACTCTCGAATTGCAAGTCAGCCATATCACAATATTGACAGCGCCAATCGCCATGTGATAATACGCCGAGCGCTTTCGGCCCTCGAGTACGGTAACAGCAGGTACGGCCTTGCCTTCCCGTGGTGTGTAAAGAGTGCCAGAACAGAGGGCCCGGTATGTATGGAAGTCGCAGGATGGTCCGACCAGAAATCCCGGGAAGTAGAAGCTGCATAGATTATCGTCGAAGGGAAGAAACGGGATAGAAGGCAAAGAGCATACCAATATCCCAAATACTCCAGCAGCGACGGGAACTGTACGACCCTACTTTCCTTTTGTTGTTGGTCAAGGAACTACGGACTGGTCAGCTTGCATAGCAGACGTGTACATGCCCACACACCTCATCCGGTTGCCTCCCGTCATGTATATTCCAAGCGAGGGTAGTGATTTTCATGACAAGTACCATTTGACTGAATGTAATGTCGAAGTTCTCAACGCTGAGGTGGAACCAAATGCGGTATAGGTGACTGCACAAAAGTTAGCAAATCTGACCGGGGAACCCCAAACAACACACGCACTTGTACATCAAATGCACCATGGCAAAGCTAGTGACTCGTCAGAAATAGATCGATACTGATGATGTGAGATACGCACAAAAAGACCGCCCATGGCATATACTTGTGCTTCCATCGCAAGAGCACCCAAACGCCAGAAATGCTGAAGAGCTCGTGGGCAATGCCGCTGTACAGTTTCAGCTCAAGGAGAGCGTAAAGCGAGATGAAGATGCTAAAGATGTGTCGCAGGGCAGGTAGCTCGTTCGGTATGCGGATGTAGAGATGACCCAAGGGGTAGTTTAATGTGAAGAAGATAAACACCTTGAACATCGGTTAGCCGGGAATGTATTGATGCTCAACGGACATGCACGCACCTTGATCTGGTCTTCCGGTGCACCCGTGATAGAGTGTAATCTGCTCGCTATCGAATCCATCAACATGTTGGGAACCAAAGAACGGGGACGGGGTATGTTGTTCAAGAAAACGAGGGAGAATTCGCAGTCAGGGGAACACATACGCAGACTTGGTACCGTAAATGATTACTGGAGAAAAGGAGGACCCTTCCCTACAACACGTCATGGTGCAAGAGAGCCTTTTAGGGGACGATCACGCGCCGGCCGGAATGGCCGACATCTCCCCCTCATTGTGATGGACTGGCACGCCACAGCGTTGTTGAAACGTGCGTGGAGATCATAGACAAAAAAAATGCGATCCAAAGTCGCCATTGATGGAATGGCGATTCTATTTCAATGTAGGGCCATATTTGGCAGGTGGGGTACATCACCCAATTCTGATGCCAGCGTAACCTTTCAGAACTGTGTCAATGTGGATACCAATGACGTCTGGGGAAATCTTGATAATACAAGGTTATTCTACCACAGGAATCCTGAGCGAGTTCCTAGGTGACTCCGTGAACTCCTCTCCAGCCACATACACAGGGCGGGAGGGTCCCTCCTCAAGCCCACCAGGAAAGGTAGTAGGATGCACCAAGGGTGACCCGGTAGACGCCTTCTCGACCAAGGTACTACCAGTGCTGGGTCGTTCTTCGTCGATTGGGGTCAGAGGGGGGCAAGAACGGTGTGCGCTGCACGAGAGCGCGAGGATGTAGATGAAGAGAGTCATCACTATCCGAAGCTTAGTCCTGATCACCAATAATATATGCACAAATGATCGGATGCTCACGTGAAATCCACACGAGAAACGAGAATGCTTCGGTAGTGACGAGCATCCTGCATATCTTTTGCTGATATTGACACTCCGGGTCACTCGAGCAGTGGACTGGCGCGGAACATCCGCCCAACCGACCAAAAACACTTCTGTCATATGCTGCCGTAGCCAGCCAGACCGGCCAAAGTATTGTGAGTGAGAAAACCTCTGGTCTCGTCCAGGTCGTGATCCCATTCACGCGGAATACATCTGTCATCATCCTGCGGATCGTGTCAGCGAACAGACATGGCAGGAGAGGGAACCTCAAACATCGGGATTAGGGTCAGGATCGTCAGTCCTGATGTGACGATAGACAGCACGTTCCAGGCGGCATATTCAGGGACGGTCTGGATGAGCAGGTATATCGACAGGCCTAGGACGATTGCAGATGCAGAGAGAGCAAATAAGCGAAGCGACAGGCGAACCACGGCGAAGGTTGTCATATTGAGCTAGAGATAAGCTGGGAAGCGACGCGGATTGCAGTTTAGACTGAATCCAGCCGGTACTCATGCTTTATATACGCTTTCGGTAAAGACAGCCATAGACAAGATGTGATCGAGATCCACAGAGTCATCGCAGTTAAACTTGCACAAGGTGGCTGGATAGTTGAGTTAGGGCAACACATCATCCGAACACAGCGCCCCCAGCTTCAGTTCAACTGCACAAGTGCTTTTCCTGAAAGCATGGGGCAGGGAGCAGCAGAGGGCCTAGAATAATCCGTTGCTTCGCCTTGGCGGGTGTCTTTGCGCCCTGTGCGCATCCGCACCGTCTCAGGCCCGGGAATGCAGACAGCGGGTCATCAACGTGTTGGGAACCTCATGTTAAGCAGCTGTTTGACGAAATTGGTCAAATAGTGGTCACCGCGGGAATGGTAGCGGCATCTTGCTGACAAGTGCGCAAAGAGGGCGCAGGTGCACTCTCAGACCATCTTGCGAGAACACCGCCCTTCTGTGATTTGAGTTGGCATCCCGGAATAGGCTTGTTTAGAGTGGGATGGTTTCTGAGAGGGAATTATGCTCCTTATCGCGACTGTCAGAGAGGTGAGAGCTGATGATAGCGAACCGTCAACAGGAAGTGAGAGGGTGACGGCCGGAATACAGTCCGGTCCGCGATTTAATTTGGCACCATCCACCGAGAGATTACTCGGCAGCCCGAGGGTCTCGTGCCTTCTACCTGGTAACGTCCTCCATCTTGCCTCACTCGGTATCGTCGCTGGCGTCTTGCGTGGTGCATGCCTTTCTGTTTTCCGACGACGACTATTGTTACCACCACCACGATGAACGGAGGTTGCTTTCACTGCTCTAGACGCAGCCTCATACACCTCCCATTCGATTGCCTGCAGCACATCCTCACCTATCTCTCTGCCGTCGAGATCATCTCCACCCTCTCAACTTGTCGCACCCTTGCCCGCTGGCGGGCAGAAGAATCAATATGGCGCCGATTATGCTTAATGTATGGCCTATCCGACGTCTCACACATACCGAACAAATCGTACTACGTTGCCTACACTCGCCTTCTTCATCAGTATGGCGACCTACTTGGCCTCTGGGCAAGCGATATGCCCTACAAGGGCAACGTACTCGAGTTCAAACTGGATTTAGGCGGTGGGAAAGAGGGCACGACGGCCGGGATATGGGGATATGCATGGCGGTTCCCGGAGTTTACCCAAGGACTGGACGATTCAGATCTCGATGCGGACGACCTCCTCCAGCAAGTGGGAGCCAATGCAATTCAAATCCAGATTCTTCGTACTACTCTTGGTGTGCCACGTCGGCCACGACTGTCCCGTATGCTGCGGATCGGGTTTGAGCTACCACCCCCATTGCCTGATCGCTTGGCTGAAGAACCAGCGGAGTATGCTGTCACGCCTTTCCCCCAGCTGACCTGCTACGCTCCCGACCCGTTTACACCGCATATGCCCATGGGTGCCCTCTATCCACATGCCGTGCAGCTCGAAGCCACCAGGGAGAGCATCGAGGGCTATGTCGTTTCCCACCCGTATGGGACGAGTACGCACCCGAGTTTTCCACCACGACAACCATCGCTGGAACGCTTCTGTGGATGGTACGACGAAGACCGCCCCATGCCGCGCCTGCCGATGGTCACTGTACCCGCCAGCGTGGACAAGTTCCACACGCCACGTTATCCTGTCACCGTGCAAGGTTCGCCCTCCGAGCTCCCCGTCCCAGCCGCTCTCGCAATACGCTGCGCCGAAGAGAGATGTACACATCACTTCCCAGCAATCCCATTCCGCCTCGTCCGCGCATTCCCGCCTCTTTACTTTCCAATACGTGCAACTGTACAACATGGAATTGCACCCTCAGACCCGAGGTGGACGCCTGAGAGTCTCACTGGCCTCTGGCTCGGCGCGTATGGTCCACATGGAACTGAAGTACTATACGTCGAGACCGTGGAAGAAGAAGCGAATGAATGGCACGAACAAGGCAAGATGGTTCGCGCAACGAAGATCACGGGCGATGTGAACGTGCCCAGGGGAACTTGGACTTGGATGTTCTATGCACAGCAAGAGACCGAGCTCATGAGTGATCAACTTCCAGACGTTGTCCCGGATCTGAGCCTCTGTAAGCTGTTCACGGGACAGGGGATGACGAGCAGTCATGGGTTTTTGTGAGCCTCCATTGTGATCTCCTTCGGATATGTGCTGATGATACACAGTGACGGTCGCCAAGCCATTTCCTTCCTTGATGTCGCCGTCACTGGGCGGAATACCATCAATATTGACTGGCATGATCTCGACCATGTTAGTACATATCGTCGATATCGCGGGCCAAAAGTGTAGATTCTGTCTTTCTCTGTCGTTATTGTTATACATTCGTAAAATATGGTAATTCATGCAGTATGTGCTACTTCGTCATGACGCACGCGTTGACGCGACTTCGAGGTCAAAGGGGACGCGCGCCTGAGTAAGATCTTGCTCACCAATCACGTCTGAGCACATCGACTGTTAACTATCAAATCTCATGGACGACACTCCAAGCGGCGTGCGCATATTGCGAAGTTTATATCCTTATGTTGCAGATCTTCGATCGTATCTGCATACGATTCTGAGGACCGATGTTCTCGACACGTTTGAAGGAGACGCGTCGATGAACCAGATTTTGACATCTGCTTTGATCACTGCCGATGGACGGCCTCCAGAGGAGTGTCTCACACCCACCAAGCCGTTCCATTCTCAAGCTGAAGTACATATTATGACGGGATTGTGAATTGCCAAATTGACCGACCTGGAGGTGCTCGATTTGGCTCGTGCGAAGCTCTTCACATCTAACAAAGAAAAGTACTCGAACGTCATCAATCTCGGTTATCGCATGGTACGCTCTGCTACCTCATACGCTCTCGATATGGCTTACGACGACATCAGGCTGACAGTCGAGGAGAGGCCCATAGTTCTGGTCTGTCGAACTTCTTCACCAACACGACGGCAGACATCCTGCAGACGCGGGACTGGCAGCTGTTACTTGAGAGGTATTTAACCATCTATCGACATGTCCACTGTAATTGAATGTTACTCAGAATAGGCGAAGAGGCAATGATGCATCTTCTGACTACCACGAGTATGTTCATCAGCCTTCCTAACGATTGCTGGTATCAGGTACTGGGTCCGCCAATACATGAACTCATTGTTCGAGGCTTGCCTATTGCACCATCCAAGCCACTGAACAATTCTTCCTCGAACATGGAACCAGAAGCCGGGCCATCGACCATCCTCAATGGAAAGAAGCGACGTTCTCCAACGGATATACAGCTCGTCCGAGCTCGCATTTTCTACGCCAAACCTTCAAGGGCCCCGGATGGCAAGATCAGAGCAGGCCTGCCTCGGTTCCGTAAGTTGCGATTTAACGTTATCATATGAATCTGAAGAGTTGTGAAGATGTTCTCAACGACTTACGGCACGATCATCGATCTGAAAACGCTGCTCGACACGCGTTGAAATACATATTCCCATCCGAGTATGGTCTTCACAACGTATTCACTTCCCCATTGGACCGCTTGAATCCTGCATTTGCGTTCAAAGACTACACGGACCGCAACGATGAGATTGTGGTATGTCGTACGGCATATCTCATGGGATGACAACTCATATAGCATAGGCACACGGGAAAATGAAGACGCCAAAGCGACTGAAGCAAGCGATGCCGCTGTCTAGCAAGCTGCTTGCATTACATTGCCAAACGAGCTATAAGCGCCTGTGTGATACGGCATGCCCAAGTAAAGTAGAATGCATAATATTTGTGCATCGGTTTGATTTCTGAGTGCTGTGTTCGTTACTGTAGGTCCTGAATAACAAGGCAGATCTGAGCGACGCCAGCGTCATTCTAGTGAGTCGCTGTTCACATGATGCAGGTCCAGTTCTTACATGATCCCGTAGGATATCATGTCCGAAATCTCTCAACCTCGAACACAGGAACAAGTGACTTCAATGGAAGTGTCACATAGAAGCGCGATCTTCGCCCATGGGGCTTCAAGCGCTCAAGCCACCGTAGTCACGAAACCTCGATTCATTGAGTTTTCATGCAGTCACTATGAAGTATGGCAAAGCTCTCAGCATACCTATGCGCTGGCCAATTATCATATAGGTTTATCGCTACGTGGCAACTGCAACAAAAGCAGTTATTCCTCATTTGTTTTGGGGAAGTACACAAAATCTACGTTGCATACTAAAGAGTAAGCATAACCGTTCTATGACTACCGCATTCTGAAAATATTCAGAGGTCAGAGGGCTAATTAGAGCCCGGAGGTACGAAACTATGAGTTTGCATGATATCCTTCAAGGATTTTGCGTTGCTGAGTGCGAATGGTTGTATCCTCCCTCGAAAGCAGCCCAAGATCAACGTCCGGGGCCTGCTGAATCAATGAAGAGGCGTCAGCTGCTGGAGGAATTTCTGTACTGGTACTTTGACTCTTTTGTTCTATCGCTTTTGAAGGTATGTGTGTTGCTAGATGTGGTCTCGTCAGGACTGACATGGTGCTGAGGCAACCTTTTACATCACCGACTCCTCAGCTTATCGCAACAGGATTCTGTATTTCAGACATGATGACTGGAATACTGTTTGTCAGCCGTTATTGGACCGCCTGAAGTCATGCAACTTTGTACCTTTGGCCAAGGTAGGTCAGACAGAGAGCTGTATCAAATCATCACTATATCGTAAACCAGGACGACTTGACTCGTATGATGCGTCGTAGAAGACTCGGATTCTCTGCCATTCGACTCCTCCCGAAGGATACCGGTGTACGACCCATTGTCAACTTGCGTCGACGCACAGCTCACTTGGTTTGAAACACTTTCCAAACCTGCCCAATTGTTGTTAACTTCAAAAAGGTCACGACGAAAAGCGGCCGGCGACGCATCGCTCCGGGAAACTCGATTAATCAGATACTGCAGGCGGCCTTTCAAATATTGACTTTAGAAAAGGTCTTCCTTATCTCTTTCAGTCCTAGCAGCAAGGAATGTTGACCCTTGGGCAGAATCGAAATCCCCACCTGCTTGGCGCATCCGTGCTTGGTCTGAATGAAATTTATGAAAAGCTGAAGTCTTTCAAGATGGGGTTGCTGGGTGAAAACCGAGTGCTGTACGTCGAGGGATCAACATACCAGAATGACATTCACCATCTCATTTAGACCAAAGCTCTATCTAGTCAAAGTGGACGTGAGGGCTTGCTTCGATACAATTGACCAGCGCAAGTTGTTGAGCATCCTAGAAGAGCTAATTGTCGAGGTACGATATGTTCAATGCTTTGAACTCGGCATAATATGTTTATCAGGACGGCTACCTCCTTCAGCGGTATGCTCAGATCATGCCAAATGCAGGCCGGATGAAGCGTTCTTTTATGCGAAAAGCATGCCCCGATTGTCAGTATACAGGCGGAGGAGACTCGGCTGACGGGCTAACTTGAGCATTTTCGCAGGGGAGCATCCTCCATTCTTGTCACTCGCCGTACAACTAGCGGCATCCTTACGACATGCAATTTTTGTGGACCAGGTGAGTTTGCTTGTTGTCTCCTTTATACTATTATGGAGAATCAAAAACCTGTTTTAGGTGGTCTACTCAGTCGAGGATCGGGAGGATCTCCGGGACTTGTTGAGGGAGCATGTTATGGAGAATGTTGTCAGAGTAAGCATGGACCTTGTGCTACTTGCATATCTCACCTAGCGATTAGATCGGTGATACAGTCCATCGTCAGAGTGTGGGCATTCCGCAAGGCTCTGTTTTATCCACTATCCTATGCTCTTTTTTCTATGGAGACCTGGAGAAGACCAAGTTATCTTTCACCAAGGATGCATCTTCTGTGAGGAGTACCTATGTCAGAAGTGTTCCAGCTGACCTTCAAGACTAGCTGCTCCTTAGATTTGTGGACGATTTTCTTTTCATAACAACAGACAAATGGAGGGCTGAACAGTTTCTCACAGTAATGAATGCCGGTCCGTTCGTTCAATGATCGTTCACGGCCTGTTGACGGAGTGCGCTCAGGTCATCCGGAGTACGGTTGCTTCATTAGCAAGGAGAAGACCTGCCTCAACTTTGAGATTGAGCAACCGATAGATAGCTACGTGAACCGAGCGGCTGGGCATGGTGAGTCTGCCACCTGCCACCGTCTTGACTTCCATTAAACAGACGCAGAATTCCAGTGGTGCGGTCTCACCTTGAATACGAAAACTCTCTGTGTTCGGGCAGACTATGGACGGTATAATGACGCACGTGGGGTACAAGTTCGCTGTCGTTGATCTTGCCTCTCATCTCTCACACAGAAATGAGCGATACGATCTCGATCGACGCGACCAAGAAAGCTGGGGTCATTTTCCGCCAGAAACTCTTCCAGTTTGTCCCCCTTACCTGATAACCTGTTCCATGTTCACGCATTCTTGAAGGACGGTCAAACAGCGGAGTCATATCATCTTCAATGACACGAACCTGAACACACCACACATGGTATACCTGAACATCTACCAAAACTTCCTGATTTCAGCAATGAAGACTCACACATATCTCCGGGCCTGGCACGTCGATCTAGAACGACACTCACTGACCATATCCCGTGAGCTGTTATCCCAACACGGGTTAACTTGACTAACATATCCGTGCTACAACAGGGATAATCCTCGAGGCGATCGACTTTGGCTATTTTGCAATTATCAACAAATTCCACGGGCGACTGGCGAAAGCGAACGGCGCAGCATGCGCCCTCCACCGGTGGGTCGTCCAATGGTATGTACATTCTGAAGGCCCAAACTGCCCTCCTAATCCGATCTAGGCTCGGGCTGCATGCATTCCATCATATCCTGTCCATGAGGAAGCATACATATCCCGTTATCCTCCAGATCCTGTCAAAGGAGATGACGAATCCAAAGCTGGCGAAAGGGAAGAAGCAGATGGCGCAGATCGTAAAGCGTGGGTTAGCCTCGATCAACATGGACGCGTTGTAGGACCGGCAGCTGTATGTTGTGCAACGAGGTGTACACTAGGAATCATCATGAACGAAGTCATGTCAGGGGGGCAGAAGGATTCTTAGCGCCCGCGCTGTAGAGTCGCTTCGCGCGACAAGGGATTTCTCAGGTGGACATCATTCTATCGATTTTGGCAAGACATCCCCAGAGGAAGTGTAGTATACTACCAGCGCCCTTTGCCGCACAATACAAAACACACGACTACAGCGCCGTGCCATTAACCACATTAAGCGCAGTCTTAGTCGGCCCATTCCCCGCCCTAGGCCTCAAGTATTCCTTCAGCTTCTGCAAGCGCTCCCCAGCGAGCTCGAGCGTAGCAAGGTCTTTGCAGAAAGCGAACCGGGCGTACTTTTCCCCGATATGCCTGTGCTCGTTACAGTAGAACTCGGAGACGGGGATTGCGGAAACTCCGATCGCTTGGGCGACGAACCAGCAGAACCTGGGTATCGTTAGCTGCTGCGTCGGTGAGGGAGGGGGAGAGGGAGAGAGACGTACTTGAAGTCCTTGCCACGACCTTGGATCGTTTGAGGGAAAGGAAAGTCCTCGGGCCATTCTACGTCCGATATGTCCTGCAGGGAGTTAGCGAGTGCCTACGTGTGCGCGCGCGTGTGTGTGGAGGGACTGACAAGAAGCAGGAAATAGCTGCCTTGGGGGATGACATACGTCATGCCCAGCTTGTCGAACGCCTTCATAAGCACATGAAGGCGCTCCTCGTACTCCTTCCGCTGGGTCTCAAAATAATCGCGTTTCTTCGCGCCTTCTAAACCCGCTGCGGCCGCTTCCTGCAAAGGCGAGTTGGTGCAGAACACTGTGCGCGTCGTCACTGCCAGAGTGGGGGCGATGATCGTAGGAGGGCCGATGAGCCAGCCGATACGCCATCCGGTTGCTGAGAAGGATTCTGGGATCGGTATTGGTGAGCTACGCACGGGGGAAGGGAAGGTGGGAGTGGACGTACTGCCAGCCGAACCGACGGTGACGGTGCGTTCCCACATCCCGGGGAGGGTAGCGATTCTCACATGCTCAGCGCCGTCAAAGGTGAGGCAGTCATACACCTCATCACTCATAACAAGCAAATTGAACTCCTTTGCAACATCCGCGATCTGCTCCAGCTCCCGGCGGGTAAACACTTTCCCAACAGGGTTATGCGGGGTCGTAACGATGATCATCTTCGTCCTAGGGGTGATGGCAGCCCGGAGCTCGGGGATGTTGATCGTCCACTCGCTCGCTGCGGACGGGCCGTGCGAGGGCTCGTACCCCGCCGGAGGGTGGAGGGGGACGTACACGGGCTTGCCAGCGTTGAACGTCACGCTCGCGAGGTACTGGTCAAAGTAGGGCTCGAAGAGGATCACTTCGTCCCCCGGGTCGAGGAATGCTGCCCAGACGGAGTACATCCCTGTCCGCACGAACGGGATCAGCATGTTGTCACTAGAACAGAACGATGCACGCTAAAGGAGAGAGATAGACGAACCCATATTCGCCCCGCTAGTGACGAGGATCTCCGTCTCCGGATCAAGTTTCCTCCCCTCAAGGTTCGTGAACTGCTCCGAGTAGAAATCGCTAATCGCCTTACGCAAGCGCGGGCGGCCCTTAGGGTGCGAATAATGGTTTCCGGCAGTGGTGTTGAGCGCTTCTACCGCGGCGTCTTTGACGTATGCCGGGGGTGGGAAGTTCATGTATCCTTGACCGAGGTTGACGCAGTCTGCTGGGAGGGCGAGGGCGCTGGACTCGGGTTAGCCTGGGGAGGGAAGGAGAGGGGAGAGGGCGTACTTGTAGATACTCCAAACGTCTAGGTCGAGCGCACGACCTTCTAGCAACCGGTTGGCGAACGGCACAGGCCCGTCAGTCTGTTTGATAACGTTTGAAGATGTCATCGGTGTTGTTGTTGTTGCTGTTGGGGTTGTGAGGTGCCTAGAGAATGACAGCAGCGGCCTGTTGGCTGTCGATGAGAGAGGAGGGAGAGGAGGACGAGGGAGACGACGAAGGAGACGAGGGAGATGGAGGGAGAGTAAGTGGCCTGTGCGCATTTACCCCACCAAAGGGCGACGGAAGCGTTCACCGATCAAATGGTGTAATATAAGTCGCGTGTGACCGATCGAATGAATACACCGCACAACTCGTCAGCAGAAACAGAAACAAACCCAGAAAAATTAGTTATTTCTCTGGATTTATCCCTGCGTTTGGCACTTTAGTTGGTGGGAGTAAGAGGAACGATGGAATGGCGCAATACTCGCGTTATCTTTTTATTCTCCAACGAACGGGAACGGAGCGAATCGAGTCAGCACATTCACCATTCCAGCACAGTTCTCATGGACGCTTCTCACCCCACACGGAGTCACTCGGCCGAGTTTGTAATCCCCTCCAACTCGGGTTCTGGTCACGTAAGTGTTGGGTAGGGATAATAGGATGGTGAGGTAGGAAAAGAGGCATGGATATTTAGCTGTATCAAAAATATAGAAAACGCGGTGTCAACACCATGCACAACCACAACCACAAATACTCCGCAGTCCGTTCTACATCCCCCACACTCGAGCTCACAGCTCACAGCTCGTCATGTCCCTCCTGGGCCAACGGCGTCTGAGCCGCTTCCTGAGCCAACACCGTCTGAGCCGCTCCCTTCGCCAGCAAGCCCTCCGAAGCAGCAGTAAACCTATTCCTCATCCTCTGCTCCACAAACTCCTCCAAGCTCTCCAAACTCCTATCTCCCTCATAATCCACAAACGCCCCTCCCGCAGGCTTGAACTTGATCGTCGGGAAACTTTGGACTTGGAACCCAGCTGAAGGAGGGACGTCGTTTTCCGTAGCATCCATTTTGGCAATAAGGATCTTGTCCTTGTGCGAGGCGAATTTCTGGCCCAAAGCTTCCCAGGTCGGGGCAAGCCGCTTACAATGCCCGCACCATGGAGCGTAGAACTCGACAAACACGTCCCGCTCTTCATCGTTGACGATTTTGTCAAACTCATCCGTGACGAGCACGTACACGTCCTCCTCCTGACTCTCGGGGATCGGCTGGCTCTTGAGCGTAGGCTTGACACTCCCGTCCAGGAACCCGGCTGTAAGCTCGCGCATCGTCGTCCCATCCACGGGCAGCGCAGGGTCCAGAGGGAACTTTGAGTTCTCCTTCAGGTCCTGGATGACAAACGCCGGCCAGTGGGGTTCTTTTACGTTCAAGTTCTTCGCATGATCCGCAAACTTGTTCCCGTCGATCCAGACAAAGTTTACCCGGCCATGAAACTCCTTCGCTAGGGGTGTGACGGACTCGGTGATACGGGCCTTGACGGCTTCGTCCGCCGGGTCGAGGAAGACGTAGGCGATAGGCAGTTCTGCCTGAGCGTACTTCCCATAGTTCTCCCCGCTGATCTCGTCAAACAGCGCCACGCTCTTATCCTCGATCCACTGCTCCAGCGCTTCCTGCTCCAGGCTCTCGATCCCAGAGGAAGGCAGGTCGTCCCGGCCTTCGTCGAACTTTTTGTATAGGACAATCGCGGGCGGGGTAACTCCTGCGGAACTGGCGACAGCCGGGTTGGTAGACATCCCGAACAGGTAGTCGTCCCTGTGCGCCTCGGCGACAGCGGAGAACACCGGTGCGGGGGGAGCAGTTGCGCTCTCGACATAAGCGATGAGGACGACCCGGTCCTCATGCGTAAACTCGTCATGCATCGCCAGTGTCACATCCGTAACAGCAGGCAAAGACTGCTTAATCATATAACTGACGATTCCCTCTGTCTTCCTATTCCCCGCATACTCCGCCGGCGTCCCATTGCGGAAAACCTTGAGGGTGGGATACCCTGCCACGCCGTATTCCTGGCACAGGTCCCCCTGAGCGACACAGTCCACTTTGGCGAGCTTGATCCCCTTCTCCTTGAGCTGCGTCGCAGCTTCTTCGTAGTGCGGCGCAAGGGCTTTACAGTGCCCGCACCAGGGAGCGAAGAACTCGACGAGGACGAGAGGCTCGGTTCTGATTGTGGAGAAGGATTCGGAGGTGAGGGAGAGCACGTCGGACGCGCTGGTGTCTTCGGCTTGGACGAAAGCGCTAAGTGCCAAAAGGAGGGATAGGGCGCGCATCTTGTACGCTTTTCGTTCTTGAGGCCGTTGTATGAATACTTTTGAGGTAGTGGAGGTAGTGGACGTAGTAGTTGAAGATGGAGGAGGAGATGGAGGAGAGAAAGAAAGATGAAGTTGGTAACAAATCCGTTGTAATAAATAAAGCAGTTCTGATCCCGTTCATTATTGCCACGTCCACAAGATTACTAAGCCAACATTCCATCTTAAACAAGTGTAACAGTTAATGTTGATCATTGCTGTACTTACACGCATAAGTGTACCGCAATAGAACATATTATCTACATAAGACTTGTAGCTCACTAAACCTCTCCACTGCTAGTCAGATGAGCATCTTGATCTTGATCGTTCGGTCGGCGGCGACAGGACAAGTAGCAGAACAGGGAACTATGTACATTGACCATAAACATAAGCAGCAGAAGTAGCAGTAACTGTGGCTGTAACAGTAACAGTAGGAGAATCAGCAGTAGCAGCAGTAACAGCAGAAGTAGAAGTTGTAGCAGAAGCAGAAGCAGTAACAGAAGCAGAAGCAAAAAGAGTAGCTTACCAAACTCCAAGTCCAATTCCAAGTCCAAGTCCACATCTACACAGTCGCAATCCCGCAATTGCACGCAATCCACAACTGCAATCCCAATGCACACGAAACAATCCAATTCACGCAACACTCGCACTCGATCCCAACTAACCAGTCCAACCAGTCCAACCAGTCCAAACTATCAAATCTCCTCCTCCCCCCATCCCTCCTCTCTCCCCCCCCTGCTACGCCCTCAACCCCCTCCCCCCTAGGCCCTCAACCCCTCCAACCCAAACCCGCTCCCCCTCCCTCCCCCACTCATATAAACCTTCACTCCACCCC